GGGAAAGAGGGCCCGGGAGAGAGGTGGGAAAGCAACAGAGACAGGGGGATGGAACGAGGCTTCCTGGGAGGAGAGGCTGGGAGGAGAGGGACGACCAGCCCTTCGGGTGGAGCAACGGAGACAGAGACCCCTGCCCTGTCCACCACTGCCTCAGCCTGACACTGGACCACCACCCACTGCAGCCAGGGAAGGTGGCCACTGTTGCCAGGGAAGCCAGCCACAGTACTAACCACCTGCCCATTGAGAGATGAGAGCGCCATGGGGTCTGGGCTGGGGGAAGCAAGCTGGTGGCGGTCACCCTGCCTGTGGCTTGAGCCAAGAGCCTTTGCGGTGAGGGCAGAGACCAGAGAGCACCACGCACACACGACATGTTACGAGTAACCACAGCAGGCTGGAACGGCCCAGCCCCAGCAGGGTTTTCCCTGGGAGGCAGGCTTGGCCGCCACCATGCGTGCTTCATGGAAGTCTGGGCTACACTGAAGCCACCGACAATCCTGTCCACCCTGCGGTTCTCCCCACTCTGCCCACCCACAACGGCAGGGTCAGGTTGGTCTTGAAGACTGGGACCAGACAGCAGTGAAGGAACACCTGGATGGCGCATTGGGGGTCCAGCCCTCCAGGGTTCAGAGAGCCACATTCCAGAGGAGGATGTGGGTCTCAGTGAGGACCGGCCAATCACCAAGTATCCTCAAGACAGACCAGTGAGTCCTGCCCCCACCAGGCTGACCTTCAGTTCAGGCTGAGTCTAAGCCCCTCCAGGTACCCTGACCCCCAGGCCCAGCTGGTCTCTTCCCTTCCTCATACTCACAGAATTCTGTACCCCAGGGCACTGCCCCTAGGAAGCTCCCAGCTCAAGGCTCAGAAATTCCTCCAAGGGCAGGTTCAGACCCAGCAGGCCAGGCCTAGCAGTTCCCACCTCAACTTGGGCTATTACCTGGGGCCCTCAAATCGGATGGAGGAGGGGTGGGAGCCAAAAAAAATGAGGTGGGAGTCAGACTACGGATATGTGGGAAGAAGGGACTCCACGGTGTTCAGGAAACAAGGCAGGAAGCCTGGAATACTCTGGCTGGGACAAGGAGCAGAGACCAGAAGGTCCAGTCCACTGCCTCTAAGTGGGGCTCTCCCCACAGCCTCTGAGAATTCCGCAAGGGCAGCTGTGGCCCCCGTCAAGGCCTCTGCCCGGCCAAGAGAAAAAGTGAAGTCTAGGTTCCAGGGGGTGGCTGCAGCCCAGCACACTGTGCAGGGGAGTCTGTACCCAGAGGTGGGTAGGACAGGCCTCCCAAGTCACACGGCAGGGCCAGGGTCTCCTGGGCCATCTCAGTGCCACCACCCGCCTTGCCCATAACCACACCTCCAACAGAAAGCAAACCCTAACCCCTTCCTACAGTGGGATGGAGACCAGAATAGGCCCTGTCCTCCTGCCATGTTCAGTTGGGGCCACAGGATCTCTGCTGGTAACAGAGCCCGGGGCCCTCAAGACACACTGGGCTGGGGCAGACACCTGCTGTCAGAGGAGCCCCTTCCAGAAGACAACACATATCTGGTAGTTTCCAGCCCTGCCAGGAAAGAGGTGGGAAATGCCCTGCCTCGGTCCAGGCTTCAGCCAGGGTCTCCACCATCAGTCCGGGCAGCCGCTTCCCAAACCCGACCCACCTGGCACTGGGACACCCAGGCAGGCAGAGAGCTGAAGCAGACGGACAGTCCCGCAAGTGCAGCTGGCACGGGGTAGGGGCACACTGAGGGCCCCCAGGGCACCGACGCCGAGTGCCCCCAGCTGGGCCAAGTCCTCGAGGCAGCGCCAAGGCTTCCGGGGAGTGTCCTCTCAGGCCTGGAGCCCACTGACAGAGAGACGTAAGTGCTGCAGGTTACAATCTTCCACAGCTCATCCAACTTTTATCAAGACTGACTTGTTCAAGTCCTCTATAGGAAAGTGCAAAAGATGTACAAATAAATGAAATTTCTTCTGAGAAGTCTTTCTGGAAAAGGTGGCGAAAGAGCGCGTCCAGCGTGGTCATGGGGGGTGACGCTGTTGGAAGAACACTTGAATTATGATGAGGTGGCACTTCTGGGCTCTGGCTCAGCCAGGCTGGGCCTCGTCCTCCATGTGATGGCATTTTTCAGTTTCCCTTTTCGTCCCAACGTGGCACCGGCTCTTAAAAAGGCGGCAGCTTTTCTCTCCCATGGGGGTTGGGCAGGCGGCCCGGCAAGCGAGGCTGCAAAGGGAGATGGGGGCGTCCTATGGTTGGGTGGGCAGGCCTGCAGGTACAAGGAGGGGCCCAAACGGCACGGAGCCACCCCTGCCCACCTATCCCTGCCAGCTGTGGTCAGAGGGGACTCTCCAGCCAAGCCTCCCAGCCACAAGCCACCACGCAAGGCCATAAACTACACCCAGAGAGCCAAGAACACCCCAGGAAGCATCACCCAGCTGGGCCAACAGCGACTCCACCCTCAAGTGACAGTCCTGAGGGGGACAGACAGGGTTGGTGGAGGCTGGTGGCCCCAGTGAAGGAGGCCAGTTACACCATCCTCAAACCTACAGCCACCCTCCTGGTTCTAGGCCAGGAGTGACAGTTAAGACAGGATGGTCACCCTGAGGTGCAGGCAGGGCAGTGGCAGCAGGACAGGGCCTGCCTCACCGCTATACACACGCATGCAGAGACACGTGCCTGCACTCACAGAAACACACCACAGTGCACCGGCCACCCCAGCGGGCAGGCGCGCTGGCCCCAAGGTGGCCCCACAGAAAGGGGCTGCAGTAGAGGGGCTCCAGGTGAATGGGGAGACTCTCA